TTTTTCGAAGAAGCTGTATTTGTTTGACTACTTCAGGGACGAGGAAGGTTTTGTATAAATAACCTTAGACCAATTATTTATTCTTGATTTTTATCTATAACAGAGGAAGAAAATTACGCCTTCTGGGGAATAAGGAATTCTTGTAATTTTTGGAGGTACTACTAATTTATGGAAGATACGTATTTTTCACATGTTTAAAACGTCCTTATAAAACTTCGATTTTTCAAAAACAGTTGTTAGATAACCATTATGTAGCAATTTGCAAACTGACCACATTATACTATCTACTAAAAACAGTAATTAAGAGTTTATTCTGTGTTTATTTTAAGTTAAGATAAACGACGCAGTGATATGGAAACATGAAATTTATGTTTAGAATAATTAGACAGGTCAAACGATTCTATGCTGCTCGACTTTGATTGTGCTAGTCTTCTCGTCCGAACACTCTGTTTCCAGCTAAGTAGTACCGCCACGTACTCGTTTCCACGCACAATTTTTTAAGCGATCACATCCTCTGAACAACAATGTTATCTCCTATTTGTTAACAGAAGTCGCCCCAACCTACCACTTGTCATATCCTGCGCGTGGAAACGAGTACGTAGCGTTACTACCTAGTTACATAAAAAAAGAGTGTTTGGACGAGAACACGAGGAATAATAAGTATTTTTAACCTTTAAATAGGCTAGGAATACTATGTTAACATTCACGGCGCAATGAATTTTTAAAATAAACCAGATGCTCTTCGTCTCTTTTTTTTTTATTACTAAATTACTAAAAATGTTATTACATAGTGGAAGCAGTTCATATAATCATATAAACTTATATTACAAGAAAGAAAAGCAAAAGACAAATATTTTAAGTAGTTCACTTGATTAAGAATGTTTCAATTAAAGTACTTAACACCTAATTAAAATAACCCAATAATGGTCGATCTCGCAACAAAATCTAAATATGCTAAAAACTTATCTAATATTATAAATAACACGTTATGTCGGCGGCCTACATACATGTCTTTGCAAGTTACACCTTTGAATGCACTGTTTATTACAAAGTTCACATTTATATGGTTTCTCCCCCGTGTGCCACATCATGTGTCTTTTCAGTTTACCCGACGAGCTGAAACGTACACCACAAACGCAGCATCTGTATCCTCGGTAATTTTCGTGGACTGCCAACAAATGTTTCTTCAAACCTCTGGTGCCACGAACTTTGTTTCCACATATATGACACAACAATTGGTTCGTACCTTGATGGATTTTTAAATGACGTCTTAAATACAGCCAACGCGGGAAGGTTTTTCCACATATGTCACAAATGTGTGTACCGCTGTTAAGTCTTTTACAATTTTCTAAATGGGAAGCAAACCCCTCTTTCAACTTGAATTTCTTAGAACAGAAACGGCAGGCCTTAGGGGAACTAAATTTCTCATTTTGCTTCGAATTTTTGGCGACGCATAACTGAAGATCCTCACTGTCACTGCGATGAGAATTGACTTCAGTTTTTTTTGCAGTTTCAGTAGAATCAAGTGAATTTTGCGGCTTATTTGAATCCACATTCCTACATCTTTCTGGTTTACTAGATACACCTTTTTCATGTTGCTTTTGACATGTCTTGAAATGAGAATCGAATCTCTTTTCTGATTTGAACTGCTTGTTACATTGACCGCAGACATGCATTTTTTGTTTAGATGTCTTAGATTTTTTAATATTTTTAATTGCAACAAGATTCTTGTTGTAAGACGGATGATTATCTACCAGAGAAATCGCTATGTCATCACTGACATTATTGACTTCATTGATAGGTATAACATTTGTTATTTTTGTCGCGTTAGTAGGATCAAGCGAAGCGTGTGACAAGGGTGAAGAATTTGAGCCGTCTGCAGAAACCACACCATCTCTTTTTGTAGATTCTTCAAAATCAAGTGGATCTTGTTTAATATCTAAATCTTCAATCTCAGAATGGAGATCAAATTTTTCTTCCGAACTGTATTCCTTCTCATGCAACTCAGAAAAATTAAAAGGAGGATCAGAGGTTTCGTGTTCCTTCGACTTCTCGCTGCTGATATCTTTATTGACATCAGTACCTTCGTTGAAAGACAGAGGATCGCATCCAGCAGGAGTCATTACGTTGCTAGCGCTTTGAGAATTGGCTTCTCTGATGTACACAGCATTAGTTGATTTTGTGCATTTAGTAGAATCAAGGGACTCTTTTGACATCTTCAAATTATTATCATTTCTGCTATAAATACGTAAACATTTCTGGGAGTTTTTTGTGTCCTTATACCTCTTGGATACTTTTGAGTTTTCAAAAGATAAACTCAACTGTTCTATTTCTGTGGAGAAATTATCTACCTCTTTATTGATTTTATCACCTTCTGTATGATTTTCACTCCCTATTTGAGTGTTATTATGTTTCACATGCCGCACATTTAAGTGATTCACATATCTCATGCAACTATTTGCAGAATAGTCGCATAGGTGACAATGAAAAATCTTTATGTTTCTATGCTTGAATAACATGTGTCCAAGTAGCTCAACTTTGTGACATATAATTCCGCAATAATAGCATTTAATAGATTTACAGGATGTACGATGGGACCGATATTTGTTTTCATTTGAGAAACTTTGGGCACAGAGACAAGTCAGTGAGTCGTCCCTGTAAACAAACACCGAATGAACACAGATAATAATATTAAAAACATTAATACTAACGTATTGTTTCGTACTGCTGCCGGTTTATGTCTCACTATTACAATATGTCGCGTTGAACTATGCTGCTTTTTGTGAAATATGACCTGATTCACATCCTGAAAAATTCTTGCACATAAAGTGCAGTGATACTCTGTGGTAGGACCATTGAGGACTACATAAATCTTGAGATTCCTGAAAAAAAAATGTTTTAGTTATGTGATGCACGTCGTAATCCATAATGCTGTTTAATTTTTTGTGAATGTGCCTATGTTTTAGACACGTACTTGTGATTTATGAATCTGCCTTGTTTTGGGTATATAAGAAACACTACTCAAAAGAGCCTATCTAACACAATTCTTGAGTATCGAAACCGTTAGTAATACCTGTTATTTTTTCCGAACGATGTAAAATCGATATTTTTAGTTTCACAGTTTTCTATATTCACAACGTAGATACCTCGAGTATTTTCCGATAAGTACAAAATTAAAACAAAAATAAAAAATAATGTTAATTTTTCATCTGTTGGATTTATTTATTCGAAAAGTAATTTTGACACTGTCTAATAGAATTTCGTTACTTTTGTAACTACTCATTCATTACATAATCTTAGGAGACATAATAGTTAACTAATTGGTGCATGGGTAACATTTTAGAAAGTATGACACAAATCTTTAAAAAAATAATTTCAAGAAATTATGTACATTTAAATGAGATTACTAGAGCAATATATTATTGTGGGTATATTATATAAAGTTGAAATAGCAGTTTTGTTTTTTAATCCAGAAAAAATATTTCATCATTTTCTGAACCAAAACAGACTACTTTGGCGGCTTACAGACATGTCTCTCCAAATTACACTTTTGTATACACTGTTTGTTGCAAAATTGACACTTATATGGTTTCTGTCCTGTGTGCCACATCACATGCCTCTTCAGTTGAAAAGATGTCTTAAAATTCATTTCGCAAATGTGACATTTGTAGCGTCTATGATTAGAATGGACTATCAGTAAATGTCTCTTCAAATACAAGTTGGTCGTGAATCGTTTCCCACATTTATAACACAAAAAATTTCTCACACCTTGATGTATTTTAAGGTGACGTGTCAAATATATCCAGCGCGTAAATATTTTTCCACACGTGTAACAAATACAAGTGACGTTATTTTTTTTCTTGGCGTTTTTAGGCATCGGTAAATCAGAATCAAGTTTGTCAACTTCTTCCAAATTTTCGTTGTGGATGTTATCAAGAGCAAGAGTGTCATTTTTGCTGCAGGACGACGAATCATTTCCAGGATTAATTGCTGTATTATTAATGTTATTAGTGGCTTCATCGGTAGTTTGTATACATTTAGAATGGGCTGAAGTATCTTCTAACAAATCTAAGTGTTCATTACTAGTATTTCTCTGAAAAGTATTCGGATATTTCTGATTCTTTTTATACTTTTTGAATACTTTTTTGGTAGGAAAAGTCCAACTCAGTTGCTCTATTTCTGTGGAGAAAACGTCTACGTCGTTCCTTGTTTCATTACTTTGTGAACATTCATTATCTTCGGAACATTTGAAGACATTATTATGTTTTTCATGTCGTAGATTTAAATGGTTCACATATTTCATAGAACTGTTCACAGTATAGCCACACAAGTGGCACTTAAAAGTCTTAATCTCTTTATGCTTAAACAGCATGTGTCCATACATATCGTATTCGTTACATGTAATTCCGCAATACTGGCACATGATAGATTCGCACGAAGACCGATGCTCGTGATATTCATTGTCTGTTGCGAATTGTTGTCCACACAGACATGAAAGTGATTTTTGGTTTTTCTCATCTTGATCATTCTCACTTCCGCTGTAAAAAAGAAAATATGTAGAGAGAATAATATGCAGAGTACTAACACCTACGCGTTATTTACAGTTGCTACTACTTTTGCTTTCACTATCACAACATATCGCGCTGAATGGTGTACTTTTCTGTGATACAGAACTTGTCTTATATGGTGAAAAACGTCTTTACATAAGGTGCAGTAGTACTCCGTTGAACCGTCGTTGACCACCAGATAAAACTTGAGGCCCCTGAAAAAGAAGAAATTAATACAGCTGTACAACATATTCGTTGTGAAAACTAGTTTATTGCAAGGTTAATGTTTTTCATTTTAACAAAAATATAGGTACCTGTTCATTTTGCACACAATTATAGCGAAGCAAAAATTCGTTTGGTACCACCTGTATGTTCCGCTAAGCATGAATGATTTCCATTAAATTTGTTTTTTTTGTGAAAAGGGTCACTTTTATTAGAGTACCGGGGAGGGAACTAGACCGATGCACCTAACTGCTCGACACGGGATTCTGCTGACCAACCTTCATTTGTCAGTTCGTCTGCTCGACTGACCTAAGATAATTTAATTTTATTAAATTTGTTGGACGCATTTCCTGATGGATTTTAATTTGTGAAAATTAAAAATTTGCTGGAATTATCACATTTTACCATAATACTTATATCTACTTTTTAACAATATTTTATTTCGACAAATATTCTTTGTTTCAAGAGGGTCCCTCCTTTCCAGAATAATGGTCTTCAAATCGTTTCCAGCAAGCAATCAAGACTATCGAAAGACGGATACCTTTTTTTTCTCATGTGCTCCTGTCACGGACTCTTGCCTTGCGTCATCGTTCTCGGTGAACGTAATTTTCTGCTGCTGCGCTGCGGTGTCGTGGTCCCCTCCTTCATTCAAGATACAAACGAATCATAAATCTGGGTTCGGCTATGCAATACAGCAAGCCCGGTTATGGCTGGACCATGGAATCACGGACCGAAGTAAATAAAGTGCCCAACTACTAATTTAAAGAGCGGATTTATACGGAGATGTAATTATCAAAATGTGCGCATACGTAGGTATGCACAAAATTTCTTCGAAATATGCACAATTTTTGCTTTACCTTTTAACCTTTTTTACCCGGAAAGAAAGAACAATAAACTATAACCAAAAAACACGAGAAATATCTGTAACCTTATATATGTTATTACCTATAATAAGGTATACGTATTTTTACAAAAACATACATATTTTTTTTGCTGATACAATTCATATTTTGTATGAAGAAAAACTTCTTTCTACGTCAACAGATGTAATTGGTGTATACTTATAATGTCTGCACCTAATTCTATATTAATATCTAGTGATTCGCGACTTAAAATTAAACTGATGTGTTCTAGGAGTTTGTAACCGGTAGTTTTATTAATTACCTCATTTACTTTTTTATTTACAGAATCGTTCTTAGAATTTCGCTAAACGGAAATCATAAATAAATTTTGTTGTAAGTTGACTATGACAATAGCAGGCTTTATTTTGGATTTTATGAGTATTTTACGAAGAATCAGTTACGATTTTTTTTCAACTGACAAAGTAAAACATACATAAATGGGGATACAAGTCCTCAAACCGACAAAAGATGCAATGGATCGTCAAAATATGCAATAACTTATCTACGTCAATTAATTAAAAAAAATCGACGTAATAATGTGAATTGTCGAACTTTACATATAGTCACAAATGTAACGAACATAGAATGTATTTTAAATTGAGAAAATTATTATTAAGAAAACTGAAACATTCTTTATTAAAAAAACTAAAACATAAACATAAAATACATAGGTAATAAAAAAAGAGTGCGTCGACCCAGGGACGCACGGTTGGATTTTTAACTCTATGTTGTCAATTGATATAAATTAAACACGTATACGTAGCATTTGTATTTTTGACAAAATGATGGTTAATGATGATGATTGGGTTAATTGAAGTAAATATCCATGTATTGTCAATTGTTGTTTATTATAAAATATCCTTTTTTTATTTATTTATCATATAGAAATATCATAATTAATTATCATAATATTGCATAAAAAAATTTAAAGTACAATGTATAATTTACCAACTAAAGTAACAAATAAATATTTACAAATGCTAGCGCAGTATTTAAAACTTATTCGATTTAAAATACAAATTACCAGTGTTGAGGACAGATACTTTTAAAAGTGTCTAGATACAGATTGTTTTCGATTTTTTCGAAATGTATCTAGATACACATACCAGAAAACAGATACTTTTTGAAGCTTTGGCGAATAAAATAACTGAAAACATGTTTATGTATTTTTGTATGTATTGTTTAATGATTTTTTTAAAATTAACAACATTTCGAACGTATTGTCACCTAAATTATTTCTTCTTGGTGTCAGAATTTGGTTTCCGCTACTAAACACCCGTTTCACAGGTGCAGAAGAAGGGATTGTTGTATTAAATTTAAAAAATAAACATTTTACCGTAGCGTAGTTATTCAAGACTGAAAAATATTTGCTTTTTTCCTGCAAATAGGCCATCGCTTCGCTGTTTGATGTGCCACAAATTGTGCAATGTTTATTACGTACGCTTAAAAAGAATATTTTTTTTTTGTTTTTATTCCAACACTACAGTGTCCAAATTGTGTTTGAGTATATCTAACAATTATCTCCAGCATTAAAATTAATATTTCAAAAGAATACGGGAAATGATTATTCTGTGCTGAAGGTCTGTTGTCGGCAACCTGTCATAAATTATTATTCTTCAATATCGGCTCACAATGCTTTTATGACCATGTCCGGTAATCCCAGTGCGGCAGGTATATACATTTTAGGAAGAATTCCTGGTTCCGTTTAAAGCAAAATAAGTACAATTTCTTAGAAAGGTATTTAAACCCCTTATAGGATCAAAGGCTGCCTGGCAGGCCGGAATCACCAGAGTACAACTTTAAATTTTCAGATTTTTGTTGAAACTCATTTTATTTTAATCTCGTTTCACGATTTCCGAGAATATATCACGATAAATTATTCTACCGAGGGTTTAAAGATAATCGGCACATTCTAGGGCAAAACGGACCTGCCAAGCCCGCTTCGCGTTAGGTCAAACAATGAAAAAGTGAAGAAATGATCATGTGGCAACAGGAAAAGATGCTACATTTGTGTGAAAAATTAAGATATAAAACAGTAACAAATATGCGATTTATGCGAGAGAAATGTATGTATCGAACTTTCGATTAGTCGATTACAAGACTAATTTGTGCTAATTGAAAAAATTAATCATTATGTAACACGCAATTATTATTTTCTAAAAATAATAACATACCTTAAACAAATATTTTTACTATTAAAATTACTCTTATTTAATAACACAAGTACAACCAGCGGGCCTACCGGACCCGGGTTGCTCAGGTACACAAATAAAATGCATTTCCCCGACAAGCGTAAAACGCAGTGAATAGTGAATTGTGGTTTATGGTTTTTAAAATACCATCTTACCATGGCTTAGATTTATTACCCCTCAGGATTATATTTCAAGATGTATAAGTACTGAAGGCTACAATGCAGGAAATGATGGTATTTAAAATACGAAAATTTCCGTGACAGAACACTATTAGTGGACCTCTTACCTCTATTTTTGTTTATGTGACCAAAATCACCAACATGAAATATCAAAAATTACTACTAGTATAATACAACTAATAACTACTGAAAAAAAAGTGAAAGAAAGAAATGTATCTGTATCTGCGCCATTAATTTTGTATATAGATACAGATATTTTGTGCTTAAATTCGCTTTTATCTAGATATAGATACTAGATACCCAAAAATGTATCTAGATACTTTATTGAGATACAAGCATTTAGATACTACCCAACACTGCAAATTACTGTTCAAACATACCGTTATCGCCTTCGGTATCTTTATCCCTATCATTTAATTCCGTTATTAGTGGCCTATGGTGACTAAAATTAGTGATATAAATATCAATTCTTAAATGAGTAATAAAGCGTGTGAAAACGGCATCAGTTGTTGTACTTAAATCAGTCGTTGGAACAGTCAAACGAACACATTTTATTAAATAGTTGTAGCGCCCTCTCGATCACAATTACTACCGCTGCAAACAAGAGGCGCTGCTTGTCAACTCCTACGTATACTAATCGCCTCACCGCAATACACCTGGATGCAAGAATCATTCGTCAAGCAACTTCTGCACTTAGAGTTCCGAGAGTTATCTGTACACCACTTCTGCCCCCTGAAGTTCAGACCGGTCTCGGTGACCTCGACAGTGACACCGACACCGACACCAACACCGAGCCCGTAGCTCGAACCCGACATTTCCGCGCGCGAGGCATACTTGTTCTATAATACGAAAAGAAAGGAGTTAAAACTCCAATAACTAAACAGTCATCCTTTTTTTGACTAGAAGCCAAGTTCTAGAGAGATCATACTTTACTTTCAAGCAAAATTCACTCTTTATTAAATATTGTCCATAGTATTCCTAACGTCACCACGACTGGTTCATCATAGAAAAAACGAGCTCAGCATTTGCAGTACTAACTGAAATTTTTAAAGCAGCTTCGACTGTCTTAAAAAGATTAGGACAAAATAATTTTTTTAAAGTAACGTCAATTTTATCGATTCCACATTCCAAATCCTTTAGAGCAGAAAGAGTTTCATTGAAATTCAATTTCATTACACAAACTAACTAAATTTTCAACATCAGAAAATAGTTGTTCTGACAGAGCTCTAAATTGATTCAGTGTTAAAGATTAAGTATATCACAATTTTTAAACGGGGAGTTTCAAAATTGTACCAGTCTTTCATATATTGTAGAGCACAAAATTCATGTTCACAGCCTTTTTTCCATAAGAACTTAGATTATGCAAAACTTCATTTGTTTTAAGACCAAAAAACATATCTTGGTTTCTTCGCTGTTCTTTAGAAGACCATTAAACTGTCAAGTTGAGAACCAATAATATCTCTTAGTAGCTTTAACCTCGGTATATTCTTATGAAAAATGTTCATGAAGTAGTATATAAAATACAAGTACATAATATTCCTGTTGTGTTAACTCACTTGAGAGATCATTGGTTAATTCGTTCCCTTGACTTTTAAGAAAAACCCATCTGTATAAAATATTCTATCCAAACATTCATAGGTACATTAATAACTATTGGCACATGTCTTAATTTTTTTTCATAATTTAATTCTACATTGTCAAAACATTCTTTAAGATTTTCTGTTGTCTTTGCAGTTATAGAAAATTCGCCACAGATTTTTAGAATTAAATTTTTTACATGAAACTTTAGCAGTTTACATGCACGCGTATTTGGCACAGTTATGCAAAATATAGCTATGACAATTTCTTTTGTGACTTCTTTACAGCCCAATAAACAATCATATTAGACAAATTAAGTTTTTTCAAATTCAAAATATCGTAAAATACTGTTACGAAATAAACCCATACGCCGCCCCGGTACGACGCCTATGGGTTTTCTAGTATGTGCGACGATGATGGGTGACTAATCTCCCTGGAAGCGGAAGTCGCGTTTAGTCAAATCCATTCCAGTCGGAATTATTCTCTACATAATCGCTGTATTCTCGTGCAGTTTCGAATTACCGCGAGATAAATTTTTGAGTTTTACCCACGCCGATTTTTATACCCGTCCAACGTAACAATATACTGGTATATGTATATTATAAGTACATTCATTAGGTTCTTCAATCAACTGATTTCCATGTTAAACCATCCTTCATATAAGAATAAAACAGCCCAATGTGAAAAAATGTTCTACCTTACTGGAAGACTGACACCCATCATACAACTTCAAGACTTCTAGCGAAATAGGAAACCATAGAATAGAATAGAAAAGAAAGGATATGAAGCTTCATTAGGGACGGAGCGACTTCCTTTCCCCCTCCCTAACTAGGAATCTGAGAATCTTTTAATAAATAAAAGTCTCAATGGGGGTAGACAATGGTTAGTCATCAAGTTGTTTAAGAAAAAAAAATAAACCATTAATCTATGCTTCCGTATTTAATCTTCGAAGTCTGAAGAGGAGAAACCATCTCTGAATAAAAAACAAAACTTTTTTTTTAATTTATTATGGTTCAAACTTTACAAAGATGAAAATATAAAACAAAATGAACAATGGTTAAAAGTAGAAGGTACTTACTAACACAATAATGAAAATGCTTTATTTAAATTTTTCCTGTCTTAATAGTTTACATATTTTTTGTAATTTACAAAAAAGAAGAAAAAAAACAAATCGGAGATTTTTCGAGATTATGATTTGACCATACACCTATGATTTTTTAAAATAGTCTTAGTAATAAACCCCTTGTTACAAACATCGCAACTGTATGGCTTTTCTCCCGTATGAACCCGCATATGAATAACTAAACTGGTACGTTGCGTAAAAGACTTCTCGCATAAACTACATTTATACGGTTTTTTCTTGGTATGAACCCGAACGTGTACTTTTAATGCATCGGCCCTAACAAAACCCTTCCCGCAAACGTGACAAACGTATCGTTTTTCCCCAGAATGTACCATTTTATGCTGAACTAAACCATTTTTTGAAGTCAAAGCTTTACCACAAGTATCACAAATCCACGCATCACCTTCATGTCTCCTCAAATGCTTCTTATACTGATACGGCGAACAGAAAAGTTTAAGGCAGTGTTCACACTTGTACACAAGTTGAACATGATCAGGATCGTGCTTCTTCATGTGCATTTTGTAACTACCGTGACATTTAAATTTTTTTTTACACACCTCACAAACAAAACGTACACCTTCATGTTCAACTTTACGGTGAAGTTCTAGTTTAGCTTTCGCAACGAAGCCTTGATCACAGATATCACATTTGTGTGGGAACTGTTTACTGTGTAGCCAAATAATGTGTTTGGCAAGATCAGGTTTGGAAAAAAATGCAGAACTGCATGATTGGCAGTGGAAATTCCGCTCGTTGCTATGTGAAGCAATGTGTTTCTTTAATTCAAATGAGTAAAAATAAGATTTGCTGCACAAATGACATTTGTGATTTTTCCCTCCATGGCGAATTACATGGTGTCGCCATTTTTGTCGGGTGTCGAAAGATTGTTGGCAGATTTTACAAAAACGGGGGAATCCTGTCCCATCGTTGCAAAAAATCCACCTGAAAGAAGTTCATATTAATATAAATGATCTAAAAATTAACTACTCTAATAGTGTTGTTTGATACACTGCGTTTACTGAACAGATGGAATTGTAAAAGTGCGGGATTTTTATATGTGCTACACGAAGAACCATACAATTTTAGTCTTATCATTTTTTTTACTTACCCTACTAAATAATAATAATAATAATTAATGAGATATCGACAATTGCGATCTTAGTTACTCACCCTGCATATTTTTGAACTAGCTTTACAAAAGAAATTACTGTCAGTTTAGTTTTCGTTCCATGTACCTTCAAGTCTTTAGTTTTTCTTTTTTGAACCGGTATGGTCATACGAAATCTCCAATAGTAGACTCCAATAGGATAAGATAGGACGACAAATGAGCTGAAAAGTTTCATAATTTTTTTTGTAACTATTTGCTTAAGAGCAACATTAGCAAATTATAATAATCTAAGCAATTCGTAACTAAAATTTTAAAACAAACCTGAAATTTAATAAATAAAATCGACCAAAGAATAAAATATGGAGAAAGTTTACAACAATATAAATTAAAGTTCAGTCAAAGTATGTATCTCCTGAGTAGATAATATAAAAAAATATATACACATAAACAAGTCATCGCAATGGTCAATGATCAAAAAATGTTCACATATTAGGTCAAAAATACCTACTAACATCTGACTAAAAAACAAAACTAGTTGAAAAAGATTTATTATGTACCAAACTTTACATTGACCAAAAGATAAAACAAAACAATAGTTTAAAGAGGAACTTACTAACACAATAATGAAAGTGGATAACGTAAACTTTTCCTATTACAAAAAAACACATTGGGGCATCATGATTTAACCATACACCCATGATTTCTTAAAACAGTCTTAGTAACAAATCCTTTGTTACAAACATTGCATTTGTACGGTTTTTCCCCCGTATGAAACCTCATATGAATAACTAAACTGCCGCGCTGTGTATAAAATTTACCGCATAAATTACACTTATACGGTTTTTCCTTGGTATGAACTCGAACATGCATTTGTAATCCACCCGTGCTTGAAAAAGCCTTCCCGCAAACGTGACAAACGTAGCGTCTTACCCCAGAATGTACTCTTTTATGCTTAAGTAAACCATTATTTGACTTCAAAGCTTTACCGCAAATATCACAAATCCATGCAGGAGCTTCATGTCTCTTCAAGTGCTTTTTATACGCATACGGCGAAGAGAAAAGTTTAAGGCATTTTTCACACTTGTCCACAGTTTCAATATGATCAGGATCGTGCTTCTTCGTATGCCTTTTGTAATTACTGTGGCTCTTAAAAATCTTCTGACACACCTCACAAACAAAACGCAGACCTTCATGTTCAACTTTACGGTGGAGTTCTAGTTTACCTTCAGCAATGAAACCTCGGTCGCAGACGTCACATTTGAATGGGAACTTTTTACTGTGTGTGTAAATAGTGTGTATGTCAAGATGAGATTTTGAAAAAAATGCAGAATTGCATAAAGGGCAGGGAAAATTGCGCTCTTGGCTGTGGGTAGCAATGTGTTTCTTTAATACAGCTGAGCGAAAATAAGATTTCTTGCATAAATGACATTGGAGTTTTCTCTCTCCATGGCGAGCTATATGGTGTCGCCATTTTTGTAGAGTGTTGAAAGACTGTTGGCATATTTTACAAAAATGGGGAGGGTCTTTCTCATCGTTGCACCTGAAAGAAATTCATATTAATGTAACCTGTTGTTACGACGATCAGTGATTAAAAATCGGCGTGGGTAAAACTCAACAATTTATTTCTTAATAATTCAAATTTACACGACTGATTACACAGCGTTTATGTACAAAATAATTCCGTCATAACTTGACTGGACTCGACTCGTTAACTGAATAATAATCGTTCCCGACAGTGACCTTTATTTAAACCCATACTTCCTTCTAGATGTGCCGCGATCCAGGTTTTTTTTTAGCTTTTCATCTGCTGTTATTCGCTAATCTCACGCCATTCTCAAGAGACCTGTGTAACTACTCATCATTTATCCATTCGTCACTTGAAAAGTGACCTATGCCACAAGTTTGGACTAAAATTTATATCATTAACTAGTGATCACAAAAACAGAATCCCTCTTCTTTTCCTATGAGATTCTAAAGAGTGTAACACAAATCTGTTCGCAAGTTTTCCCTGCGCAAAACCACGTATTGGATCATCTAAACGATATTCAAGACATTTAAGGAAGCATCTTTTTATTTTCGCAACAAATAAAGGGTTGTCTCGTTATTTGAAAAACGCTTTGACGTGTCCCGTCAGTTTTAGGATAGTATTATCAATATGCTTATTAAATGTCAATGATTTATCAAAAGTCACCTCAAGATCATCAACAAACACTGGTCTTTCAATCACATGCAATCCAACTCTATATCTACAATTAGGTCCAGTTTTTTCTTAGAAAAGCTCATTATACGATATTTTCGTCCATTGATTTGCATGTTATTGTCAGAACACCACTGAAAAACTTTTGTATGTATTTCGCTGAATAGTTGTAAATCGTCAACATCGATCCCTGTGTCGGCGTCACTTATAAATATATTAAGGAATAGGGGCCCCAAGAGAGACCCTTGAGGAATGCCAGATTTTTGATGATAGTAGTTTTAAGTATGACGACAGCATTTAACGTACTGAAAGCGATTTGATAGATAATAGGCGTGGTATATTTTTCTGGAAGCAAGCAAAGAACAAGTTAAGAAAATAAAATTCAAGCTTTTCCAGAAACTAATTTTTTCGTTAAAATTTTGGCGCACGTTTTGTAAAATTAGTTTTTTGTAGAAAATTCTTAAGAATCCTGAAGTAAATGTTTTTTTTCCAATATGTGTTTTCCCGGTGCCTGATCTAAATTTACTCTAAATATTAAAGTTGTAAGAATTTGAGTGTTAATAGGTTATTCTTTTCCGAAATTTTCACGAATCTGTAACTATTTCATCATGTCCCTCCAGATAAGAAAGGAAGTGTTTAGTAATTCTTTGAAACATCAGGGTATTATGTGAAGAAATATATAATTCTTTCTGAAATATAAATATTGTTGTAGCAATTTCTTAAGAATCTTGAGGTAAAAGAAGTAGAATTTGTACAAACTTCTGTGTAAAAGGACTTGCAAGAAATTACAGGGTCAATTGACTTATTCCAGACTAATTTAAAGAGCATAAAAAAATTAGTATAAAATCTGTTCTTCGTTTATTTGAAGAGATATAGTGAAAATACGCACAGATTTGCGATCCTGAGAAAGTTTTAAATAGAATTGGTTAGTTTCTGAACGAATTTGAAAAACCTAATTTTTGTATAAAACTGATAAATTGATTTTAAATCAAATTTTTTCAAACATACATAAATTACTGCATGAAATTATGCACTTCGGAATAAATATTTCACAAATATTTTTAGTCTGCAAAAAAATGCTGGATCCGATTGTATAACAATTAATTTTATTCTGATTAAAATAATAGAGCAAACAGACAATTTTTTTGCTTAATTTCACTTTAGAAACTCGGGTTAGTATTTTGGTGAAAAATGTCACCCATTATTTGCTCATTTTTATCATTTTTATGCCTGATCCACCACAATACTTCCCACAAAACAGAAAAAAAGTGCTTTACATCGTTTTCAAACGTCTTTAACTTAGATTTTTTCTGGAAACTCTTCTGGAAGCAAGCAGAAGAACAAACCAACAAGATATAATTCAAGCTTCACCAGAAAATTATTGTTACATTTGAATTATTTCAGCACACCATATGTAAAATTTAAAAACTGCAATCGGATTATCATTTTGATAAACTATGGTGTTCATTGTTTCGTAATTTTTACCTTTTTCTGACTAGATCCACCACAACACTCCCCACAAAAAAGTAAAAAATGTGCTTAACATAATTTTCAAGTGTCGTTAGAGTGCTGTTATTTTGAATACAATTCAAGCTTTCCCAAAAAAACAGCTTTAAAATTAGCATAAGATTTGTCTTTCCATTATTTGAAGGGATATGACAAAAGTGGCCTATTTTTAGATTAATCTGACAAACTATTTTTTTTACAAAAATGGTGGAGACGGTTTAAAATTAATTTTCAAACCTCATTATTTCAAAAATTTTAATAAACTTCTGGATGAAACAGTCATTTACTAGATGAAAATAGTAAAGAAAATCCAATTTTTCAAACAGGTACTCTAAATAAAATTGGTGCAGATGACTAGATGAGAAACACATTTTAAATTTCACGTTTTATGATCTAATCTGTCAGAACCTTGTTCCAAATCAATATAATGAATGTCTATTTGAATGGATGTACAAAGCTGATTATCAGTGAGTCAGATATCAAGGGATTTACTAATTCTTGCGAGTATAATTGAATCAAAAACTTTAGAAAAATTAATGACACCAGAAATAGGCCGGTAATTTTCCTCATATTCTGCGCGCCAATTTTAGCACTTTAGGAAAGTCCACTCTAACGGTCCGAGAGGAAATTAGAAATCGGCATTAAAACGACACTAATGAAACGGTATTGTAACCGAAAATACTGATATCAATATCTTCTATCAAAAAACGTTTGAAAGTTAGGCAGGGCCCTCTGGTAGACAGTTGGTACATTACATAATCTACCTTTATCACAATACGACACATACGACAGCCCGAGAGATCGATGCGCGTTCTGGCGGACAAAACGCCAACTGTCACAAGCGGGATTAATTCATGTGGAAGTTCATTTGGTTCATTATTCGAAGACAACAAATTACAGTAAATTCACTTCTTGCTGAGTTATTGGCCATTTATTGTGTCAAAATACGTATTTGACTCTCTTCTCTACCATAGCTGAAGAAAAACGCTCCAAGTGTAACAACTATTGCGACGTGCCGCATTGTAAAAGTTACTATTCTGGAAATATTTTTTTGCACCACTTTCCAAGTCCAACAAAATACTGCGGCAAAAGGATTCACGCTTTAAAAATAGGCAAAGAAGTATCTCCATCCATGACGGTGTGTAGCAAACACTTTATCTCTGAAGATTTTTTCTTTAACAGAGGTGAGTTTAATCTCTCCATAACAGTTTGCATAACCTTAATTTGTCTCTTTAAAACTTTATAGCGTGTGCTATAAAGAAACACAAATTTAAAAAAACTACAATTCTCAGTGTTAATTTACCAGAAGCAACATATCCATAACCTCAAAAGAAACAAACACAAAACGCCCGGAAATGAAACTCAAACGAAATAAACTTACATTTTCAATCTAGACACAAACCAAAAAACACAAAATGTTCCGAAACGAACAAAATAAACTTTACAAAATGATAAAAAACACTAAACAATCGCAACACAAGCACTGAATGGGAGCTCACTTGTTTATCCCGTTTACATCATCCATGTTGGTTTTTCGCAACGCCACCTACATTCAGTTTGCAAGCCCTATTGTACCCCTCCACCACTGTATTCGATTTTCAGCCTTCATGGCGTTTTACTGTCAAGAGTCTGCTCCAGAGTCTGCAGGAATCGAAGTGAAGCAATGCTCAGTGTACTCTTTAGGATCTGATAAATTCAAAAATGTGGCGATGTTTTTTGACATTTTGCCAAACGTATTAATGCCTACAGGTTGTATTCTACAAAAACCTTTCCCATATTCAACAAAAAGTCTTTCATGGTTGGTATGTTGAGGACGTATTGCCAAATATTTCCTAATTTTATTATTTCCATATCCAAATTCCTGGATGCCACCAACCGTTACAAAATTTCTCTGGAAATTTTGGTTTTAGTGTTCGGGATTTGTATATGGGAAACAAACGATTCATTCTTAACATTTTCTAAGAACAAGTTAATGAGCTGTTCATTTCTGGATGCCAATTATCAATGCAACCTGGGACAAATATGAATTAAAATAATTTGAAGACATTTTAGGCATATCTTACCTTAGTAAGCAAAAACTGCTTTCCGTCAGCTTCTTTCAGGAACTTTCCAATCTCATCTTTCGTAAATATTTTTGACTTCTTGGATTTGTACCCTTCTCACTGCATTTTTAAAAATATAATCAACTGTTTGCATTTTCTTATATCAACATTGTTTTTCGTAGAAATCGTGCCCTCAGCATTAAACAGAAAGCCCAAACTCTGGAGGATTTCTACTTTTTCAACAGATTGTCGAAGTACGCCAGCACAACCTTCTCATTGGTTACACCATTTCAGATACTTTTTTCATACTTCAGTTTTGATTTTGCTAGTAATAACGCAGATAGAACACTGGTCACAGGTTCTTCTATATCTGAGGCCACACTCTCCGAGTCACTTATCATAAAAGTTTGGTGTAAAAATTCATTTAAATTTTTTTAGACTTTATTCGTCTCACTAAACGTACAATACAAATTCAAGATGTAGAAAACTTAAACTCAAAACTAATTTTGCAATAAAAAGACAATCACTCATACGTGAATAAAAAAAAACAATGAATAATAAAAATATAACTGTTGGCTTAGAAAACAAGAAACCATTTCTAAATAAAAAACAAAATTATTTTTGTTGTAAAATTTATGTATCAGACTCTAAAAAGACTAAAAGATAAAACAAACAAATAACAATTAAAGGTGGAAGGTACTTACTAACACAATAATAAAAGTGGATCATCACTTTTCCTACCTATCTTAATAGTTTAGTATTTCTGGTAATTTCCAAAAAACAAGTCGGAAATTTTTTAGATCATGATTTAACCACACACTTATGATTTTTTAAAATAGTCTTGGTAATATATCCTTTGTTACAAACATTGCATTTGTACGGTTTTTCCCCCGTATGAGCCCTCATATGAACAATTAAACTGGTACGTTGCGTAAAAACTTTATTGCATATACTACATTTATACGGTTTTTCCTTGGTGTGAACTCGAACATGTACTTTTAATCCACTCGCACTAACAAAACCCTTCCCACAAACGTGACAAACGTATCGTTTATCCCCAGAATGTACTCTTTTATGCTGTATCAAACCAGTTTTTGAAGTCAAAGCTTTACCACAGATATCACAAATCCACGTTTCACCTTCATGTCTCTTCAAGTGAGTTTTATATGCACAGCGTGAAGATAAAAGTTTAAGGCACTGTTCACACTTGTACACAGTTTGAATATGATCGGGATCGTGCCTCTTCATGTGCATTTTGTAACTATTCTGGCTTTTGAAAATCTTCTTACACACCGCACAAACAAAACGTAGACCTTCGTGTTCAATTTTATGGTGAAGTTCTACTCTATCTTTCTCAAAGAAACCTTGATCACAGACGTCACATTTGAACGGGAACTGTTTACTGTGTATGGAAATGGTGTGCTTGGTAAGATCCGATTTTGAAAAAAATGCAGAATTGCATGAAAGGCAGTGGAAATTGCGCTCGTTGTTATGCGAAGCAATGTGTTTCTTTAACTGGGTTGAGTAAAAATAAGATTTGTTGCATAAATGGCAATGGTGTTTTTTTTCTCCGTGGCGACGAACTAGATGCTGTTGCCATTTATTTCGGGTGTTGTAAGATTGTTGGCATATTAGACAAAAACGGGGAAGTCTTTTCACAGCGTTGAAAAAAATCAACCTAAAAGAACAACATGTTAGTACAAATGATCTACAAATTAACTACTCTAAGAGCGTTGTATGCTATACTCCGTTTACCGAAAAGATGGAGTTGCAAAAGTGCGTGCTCTTTTAAAGCCATAATATTATTGGTCGAGGGATGTCGGCAATTGAAATGAGTACTAACTGACGTCGTGTTTATGCTACGTTTACTTATCTTACACTAATACATATGTATCAAAAAATTATTCAAATATTCTTACTCTTACCGGGTGTTCTGATTTCCATGTCACTTAGTATACAGGGTCGCTAAAAAGTACGGAAGTTATTTCAAAAACAGAGAATATAAGGTGAACAGTCAACAATCTTTTCAAACATCTCATAGATCTTCATATGTTCAATTTTGACATTATAGCTTGGACGCTCACTTTGCAGCTTTAGAAATACGGATTTACCAAGTAATAAAAAGTATTATAAAACTGACAGAGCAACCACTGTTCTAAAATGCATAGACTGTAAAGCTTTCTTAAAAATGCGTGTTCCTAGATCCAGAATCTTTGAACGATTTCTTAGCTAAAAAATTTGATGAGATGGTTAGCAGCCTAAAAAACGTGTTTTCAGACCTAAAAATAGAACTAGTAACAAGTGCTGAAAATCAGATTAAAAATACTCTTCCTGAGCCTAAACCTGTTACATCCTTCTCAGATATATTGAAAAAGAAAACTACACCCCCGATATTAATTGAATCTAAAAATTCTGACCATGATTCCGTCCAGACAAAGTCAGATCTCACATCTCATATCAATCCCCTGGATACCAATCTGCAGTTTGAAAAACTAAAGAGTACAAAAAAAGGTGGCATGATCGTGGGATGTACATCAGCTGAGCAAAACCAGAGTTTCAAGAAATTGCTACAGGAAAAAATAGGAAATGCATACGTAATACGCGAATTTAAGGGGATATCCCCACGAGTTCGCATTTTGAGAAAATTCTCCAATTTTAGACCAGTTAATAGCCGGAAGAGCACCCCTCCATGTAATAAGACAAGAAATATCAAACGTGCTTCATCAAAATTTACTTTCCTCTCTTTTTCAGTTGATAAAATGGAAACATTGTTTATTCGCGCTTAGCTCATTTTGGACCTTAAGCATAATTTTATCAATTCAATTTCTGAAAAGTTTCTTTCACATGAAGTCACCGAAGCAAATGGTTAAAAAAATCTTAGACAAAGCGCTAGACTCGGAACACACTCAGAATAGCCCTATTTTACGATCAATCTGAAAAGCTCCAAAGTACTCCACTGAACCGCTTCGTGGGAAGAAATACTGGCTGCTTCCAAGTGGTAACATTTCCAAAATTATGTCCTCTACCGAAAATTCATCGTAGATCTGGAACTATTCCATGAGCATCTTTTTTTATGACGTTAGCAGTGGGATTTATAAACTTACCGTTGCAGTTGCTGTTTCCGCTGAGGTTGCTTTTAGAGCTGAAAATTGTCATTTATAAACTCCGTTGCCAAGTTTCCGTTGATAGTAACTTTGATGTTCAATGTTTGCCATATAAGACTGATTTTGGCAAATGATATACCTTCTAAGAAAGTAAAAGATGGGTGGGCAGGACTAGTACTTGATAAGATAAGACTTATTTCGGCAAATGACATATCCTCTGAGAAAATAGGCGGCGGGTGGGCGGGCCTAGTACTTGTTAAGATAAAACTAATTTTGTCCCTATTAATCTTGGAAAAACTCGTGAAATTTAAAGGTGTTAAATTGCAAATTTCCATAGTGACGAGTTAAATTCCTAAATCTACCCGAAATGTGCAAAATATCATGAGTTATCATTTCATTCATATTTTTTAGATTTGCTTATACAGGTGATTCAAAAAAAGTAATGAATGTATCAATTTATGTTATTGATTAAATCAGGAACGACTTACTTCATTTTCCCAAAAAATTTTCAGAATACAATACAGTTATTTTTAGAATTTCATTTACCATGGGTTTAGTGTACCAATTCTAAGTATACTACATTAATACGAAAAAGATAAAATTTATATGAGATATAAGACTGTGACTGAATAATTTTTTTTAAGATCCCACATAATAACTTTTAATTAATAGAAAACGGGAGATGTGTGGACATCGTACAAAAACACAACAAATTTTCCTAGAAGTTGTAACAAATAAACATGGTAATTATAACAAAATTTTGTTTTCTAAAATTAGAAAAATCAACCACTTTTGACTACGAACTTAGTAGTAGTATTTAAACTTAAAATATATATTTTGTTTGATTTTTGTTAGTTTTAAAATTATGACATTTTTGTTATACTTTATACTCGCTTTTTGACATTTTAAATTATATATTATTATATTACGTCTTTCATTCCGTAGTGGTCATGGACAGTGTCACACGATATTAAAGTTCGACGACTAAATAAAATTCATTTTACACATTATTTTGTCTACGGTTACAGAACAGTTTTAGACATAAGCAGCAAAATTTGTAGCGAAACTTCCTTTGCAACCAAGTACTCCTAAGCCTTCCGAAACAATAAAGCAATTGCTTCATGTTAAAATCCTTCTAGATTATATTCTGTTTCAAAAGAGATTCTCAATTTGGGTACTGCATTATGAAAAACCAGAGATTTACGTTACGACTGTTTATGTTTTATTGTCTGTTTAAACACACATGAAATTTTGAATTTTGAAATAGAGCTCGCAGCAGCTGTCAGTTGTACTGTTCGATATTCTCATATGCAAACCCACGACCTTTACGTTCGTTATTTGAAATCGTGAAATTTTGTACCTATTTATTTGTGTAATACGCATCTGTCTCTTGGGGGATCGTTGCAAAACACATTTTTGCCATTCATTTAAATTTTATTATAGGGTGGGTGGGCGGGGCTAGTACCTGTTAAGATAAAAGTGATTTTGGCAAATGAAATATCTTCTAAGAAAAGAGAGGGTGGGTGGGCGGGGCTAGTATCTGCTAAGATAAAAGTGATATTGGCAAATGAAATATCATCTAAGAAAAGAGGGGGTGGGTGGGCGGGGCTAGTATCTGCTAAGATAAATTTAACTCTGGCAATGAGATATGCTCTAAGAAAAGGGAAGGCGGGCGGGCGGTTAGGAAAAGAACTAATTTTAAAATCATTATAACTCCACCAAAATGTGAAAAGGAATTTTTTTACTATTTTTCGTAGACTCAACAGATGATTGATAAAAGCATAGCAGAGTGTTAATTCGCCATTTCCCAGACACTCGGTCTATGAATCTTGGGAATCCCTTTCGTGTTTTAATTTACAAAGAATTTGAAATGATTTTTGGGGGCGCTGTTAGTGTTTTAAAGAAAGAATTTCAAAAATTCCCCATGGTGTTCCTTCTGATTTCAAACGTATTTGAAAGAATCTTGCCCCCCCCCCCCTTCCCCGTGGTGTTTTTATTTATAAAGAACTTGGAAATCCTAACTTTTTACTTTACAAGGAATTTGAAACAATGTCGGGGGCTCCCTGGCGTTTTTAACGACCACAAATTTAAAAGAATCGTAAAGGTCCTTGGTGCTTTAAGCAAAGAATTTGAAAGAATCTCTGGGATTTTCTAGGTGTTTTAATTTATAACAATTTTAAAAGAATCTCGTGAGGCTTGATGTTTTATTTTACATCAAATTTGAAAGCATCTCTGTAAACTTTTTAGTGTTTTAATTTTACAACGATTTTTAAAGAATCTCGGGGGCTCCTATTGTTTTATTTTACAATAATTTTGAAAAAATCTCGGAAGTCCCTAATGTCTTAATTTTCAACGAATTTGGAATCTCGGGGTCTTCTTGGCGTTTCTATTAACCACGAATTTAAGAGAATTTTAGAGGTCCTCCTGGTGTTTTAAACAAAGAATTTGAAAGAATCTCAGAATCCTACTTGGTGCTTAATTTACAAAGAATTTGAAAGAATCTCGGGGATTTTCTGGGTGTTTTAATTTATAGCGACTTTAAAAGAATCTCGGGGGTGGCATGATGGTTAATTTTACATCGAATTTGAAAGCATCTCCGTAAACTCTTTAATGTTTTTATTTTACAACGATCTTGAAAGAATCTCGGGGGTTGTAGAAGAAAAGTGGAGGACTTAAGTTGATTACTACAAAAATTTACCGTTTTAGACATGTTTTAAGTTTCTTGTTGTCGAAATAAGTCTACATATACCAAGAAAAAAAGACAAAATGTAGCCCCGCCCACCCGCCCTATCTCAATTGTGATGATTCTTTTATTCGTCGTGAGCCAAGGGAAGGAGCTTAATTGCAAAAAGTGGTTTTCCATGCTCGTGAATTAAATTTTTCACACACGCTGGAAAACGACCAAGAAAACATTGTGGTGCGGAAATAATTTGTTTTATTGTAAAATCAACATATAGTTTCGGATATAACTCATCAATAAAATATGCAAAACGGTCCATACAAACCTTAAAACTATGTTAAACTTATTGTATAATAAGAGCAGGTTTTGCCTTAGAAGGTCTGCCCCTTTCCCGTTTTTGCCCGTGGGTGATAGTTTTAGCCCCAACAGGTGCAACGGTGTACCCCAGGCGAATTGACAGCCCAATAACATGTTTACACATGTATAATTTGAAGTATGTTGGGCATGTACATGTACCTTGAGCCCATCGTTCTTTATTTATCGGCAATGCAACCTCCCACTTACTGAAATACTGTTCTTTGAACTCGTCAAAATTTTCGGGGTGGCTATCAAAAACTTTGCATTCTTTGGCTTCTGTACCTGGGATTTGATAATAGATGAAGTTTTTATCATCACGGGGTACAACCAGAATCTTCTTCGGCAGTTTGGCCCAATTATACGAGTCTGCCCACTCTTTAAAACTTATCGTAGGAGATTTTGCAATAAAATGTTCGTCTGGCTGTTTAATATATTTGACAGACCACGCGTTCACCATTTCTTTGGCCACTACCAGGAAACGAGAGAGCTGCAAACGTTCTCGAAGAGTGTTACTATCTTTGACGGCTTTGGTGAAAGCCTCTAGAGCATTATTTGTCGAGGGTGACATTGCAGCTGCACCCAGATACCAATTTTGATTTTGCAGTAACCACTGTTCTTTGAAATACGCCACGAACTTACTTTGGTCGTCATATTTTTGCAAAAAAAGATCAGAAGCTGTATTAAAAACATCTTTGTCTGTTATGGAATGTAGAGTATCTACATCCTGCAACATTTGTTTTTGGACAGATTTCTGTACATCGCTTTCAATTCTCGACTGCATCTTTCTTTTTGCGTGGGCCCAACACATACGCACTGTGGTATCTTCGAATTCTTCAGTAAAAGCATCTTGGATGCTTTTTGCGCCGTCCGCAACCAAAATCGTTGGTTTGAAAGAACTTGAGAACAAAGACTGGATTTTGTCTTTCATGCTCTTGAATAGTAGTTGAAAGTCGTCTTTTTGCTCTGTCGTAGAAACGGTCAGACATAGAGGATGAAATTTTTGTTGTTTATCCGTGGTTCCTACAATCAGGACAGGGTATCCCTGCCAGACGAGTTTGTGGATAGCATCTACATGTAAGATATCTACATCACACGCTAACTCTAACAAGTATTTGCTAGAGAGAACAAAGCGAAAGGCATCTTCAGAAATTTCGTGTACAATTACAAATGCCTCGTGAGGATTTTCTGGCAAGACTGAATTATCTTGAAGCCACCGTTCTAATTCCCCCAAATTTATCGTGTGATTTCTGTGTAAAACCCGACGTCGATCGCTTAAGTAATTTCTTAATTGAGTCATCTTCGGCACTTGGATACTCGGTAGTTTTTGGAGAGCAGTCATTATAGCTTTGGGTTTCATATGAAGAGCAAACAATCTGTTTATTTCCAGTTTCACTTCTTCAGGTATTCCATACTTTGACGAAACTTTACCTTCGTGGTCATGATCAGCATCTGTTTGATACATAAACACAGCATCTGAGGTTGAATCATATAAGAGGTGCCTTTTAGCTGAGCACTGAGGCCCGCGCTTTTTCACTTTATTACATCTATAATATGTTTTCTTGCCCTCTTCCGATTCATTCGAATAGAGAACAGACCAAGTATTTTCTTCACTTAAAGCTTTTTGGGCTTCAATCACACTGTCGAATTTCTTCACGAAAATCCAGGAAAAAAAGTGGCGCTTTTTTTCTAGTGGCACTTCTTTTTCTTTTTCCTCATCGCTGCTCTTGCTGTCACTGTCCGATTGAAACAATGGTACCACAGCTTTATTTATTTGTGATGAGACCCTACACAAGGAAAAAAATTAAATTAAATACCACTATAGACACAATATATAGTTGGTAATTGTTTACTTTAACCACTATGCGATTTTGGTTGGCGTTTTATCATCTACATGGTAGTTTTAGAGATTATCTGTCCAATAAGAATCCGCACGTGCACCTCTGCACAAACAAATGGCAAGGCTAAACGAAGTCGCAAAAAACAGACACCTTTTTGGTGGCAAAAGTTTTCGTAAAATGTCTTGAAGATACATTTAGGGAAAAAACAAGGGATTTTTGAGGAGGTACGTTAAAAATAAAGGTAGCTAAGTTAAATTTAGCAAACTTTTTCTAGCAATAATGGTCTATTTTAAACTAGAACTTGCAGAGTCTTTAATTTTTACTAATACCTATCAAT